GTTCTTTCTTCCTCTTGTTTAAATAATCTTTTTACTCTATTTGTTTCATTAGTTTGGTGCTTCACAGCTCTCTCTGTCCGCTCTTCAGAATTTTAAAATTTTATTTTCAACTAAATATTATACACAATTTTAGTCGTATTTTATTCACTGTTTTATGTTGTGAACAGGTAAAAACATTCTGTTTGCTAATTTGATCTATCTTTATCTTGACTGACCGCGAAAACACCGGTGGTTAAAGATGAAAGATGAAGCTGGAAATTTGATGCTTGGTAGAGTTTGTTTCTATTAGACTTGGAAAAAAGCAAAAAGCTAAATTACTGCAGATATCTAAAAAACAAAGAATAAAAAAATTTCAAAGATCTGTTAACTGACAACTACCCTAAAAAAGCCCAACTTTTTTTTTCTGAATAATCGACTTCAAGTAAAAAGCTCACCGCAGCAGTCAAAATCAAAAGCTATGAACCGAGTTTCTTATTTTTTGAGTAATAAAAAAAAAGTTGCTTTTCTGAACAGTCTATAATTTGGGAAGATTATGACGCTATAAATTTGTTAAACAAAGCTTTTGTTGTTTTTACGTAATTTTTGTCTTAGACTATTTTTTTTAAAACAATAACTTTTTTCTGCAGCAGATTACTCAAAAACGTTTCGTCAGCGATCTTGCGGGTTTTGAACTACATACACGCTGTAACCCACTTATAAGTTTGTCATCAATTGGTTTCTTGCTTTAAAAGCTGCAAAGCCTTATTTCTCAAGGTTAACAAAAAAAAAAGTTCCAAATTTTTGGTTTCTTCCATATCCAAAATTATCATTTGACGAAAGAGACGGTCAAAAACTTACGACAGTTATCGCACACTTTTTTTTCAACAAAAAATTTACTTCTTTATTTTGATTCACAGTCTTGAGCTATCATATGCAAGATTCACTAGCCAAAAAAGGTGAACTTGATAGGTATTTCAACATTTGTACCGCAACACATCTAATGTATTCGTTAATTTTTTTTTTTTGGTACAATCAGTGACAGCACCTGTTATCTTTCACATTAAAATGTTCAAAATTTTGCTTCAGATAATCTACTTGCAAAAAACCAGTTTTTATGCAGTGACTTTTCAACTTTTAGTTCCTTAATATTAATCACGCTACAAAATAGCACACTTTAAATTCGAGAAATTCACTGTTTTTGAGAATAAAATATAGAATAAAATTGGAAAAATAGATTTTACTAAGAAAAACTATATAAAGTTTTTATTTCTAAACTTCTAAACACAGTTTAGTTTTCAGTACGATGCAGTAGAAATGCCTATTTTCACCTGTGTTTAAAATGCTGAAAGTTTAAAAATTGTTAAACGTAGAAACACTTTATTTTCATATTGCTTAACGTTCTATTCATGCAAAAATTCAATTTCTTTTCGCATAAAACTGATTTCTTGTTCTTCCCTGGTTTCTTAAAACTGATGCGTTCCATTTTCATTCTTACACTAATCCAAACTCTTCTGCCAGTGCTTCATTAGACAAGACCAACGTTTAATAAAAAAAAAAAATATAGAGTTTCTGAAGAAGATGCATTAGCAGTAAAATATGATAGATTTTCATCATTAAATGCGTAATTAAATTTTCAAAATTTATTGAATAATTATTATTCAACAGGAGAAAACTTTGCTTTTAGGCAGTCTACCTATTTATCATTGACACACACTGTCTTTTTTGTAATTATACAAATTGCTGTTTTTTAACCATAACAATTTCTGCAGTTCTTAATAAAAGCATTTAATAGACAAACACTACACGTAAAATGCAGAAGAAATTCCGCTGCTAAAGTAACATTGAGAATTGAGATGGCAAATGACATTTTAATCAAAAAAGTTCAAAAAAAGCACACGCGTTTTTTGATAATGCAGTAACCTTCCTTTAAAAAAAATTAGAAAGATATATTCTGAACAATAAAATAATGTCATTTTAAACCTATAGAAAATGCAAAAAAAACTAATAAAACAATTTGAAATTTCTTCCAAGTCATTTTAACTTTTATCACGTAAACCCCAAATTAAATCTAGTCAAAATCTTATTTTTATTACTGCTTAATAACCTGGTTTTTGAATTTTATAGCAAGAAATTGATTGGCTCAAAATTTACGCCGAATAGTTGGTTTTGCGTTTTTTTACCATTATTTGGCCATTAAAGTTTCGTCTTCTTGAATATATTTAGAGTTTTGGTATCTTTATCACAAACAATGAACGATCTTGATTAAGCTTGTTTCTTAAGTAAAACTGGTTTCGCAAGTATTTAGAGTGTCCGGCCTTTTTTTTGAATCTCTCTCAAAGTTCTCAATTTCTTCTCGTTCTTCTTCGTTTTGTAGGTTGTAATACAAACTTTTTCTTAATATTTTGAACGTCCAGAAAGCAAATCACCTCTTGTTTCTTTGAAATCCGCATTCTTCTAATCTTTATCGTCGTTCTTCAACCGCTTTTCTGCAATCAAATGATGTCACAAAACTGTCATTAGACACATTCATTGCACAACTGAAGGCAGTGCATATGGTAAAAACACTGCTGTTTGCTGAACGTTATCATTTTTTTCATTTGAAATAAGGAAGTAGATTTTTTATAGAGTTTGCAAATTCTGTAAAAGGAAAGGCTGCGTTTTGTTCATTGGGTGTCTTCACGAGCTTGAATTGCCTTTGATGTTTACGATGAGGATCAATAAGGCTCAACTACGTGCGCAGTTACCAGGGATAGAAAAGTGTATGCCTGATCAGGCCCTGTTTATTGTTCAGAAACAGATCCAAATCGCTGCAGAAGCTACACATATGATATGGATTCGGGACGATCTTCAGTTAATTCTGTTTTAATTAGCCGACACATTCTGTAAATTTCATCAGTAGCCCTGATTTACAACCATGTCCAAGGCGTGGTGGAAGAGACAAATGCGAAGACTGCAGATTTTGTCACGCTGAATGCCACAAGTGTTACAAAAGGGTCTTGTCGCTAGTGCTTGTAAAAGTTAGAATACTACAAGCAGTGATCTAATTGGGAACCCACGTAAAACAGCCAGTGAGAAGAAATGGGTGCAAGTGAACGGAGGTTCTGAGACGTCCACATTCTTCTGTCAACATAGTTACTTCTCCTATTTCTCTCTACTATTACAGGTTCAACGGACAAAAAATTTTATTGTACAGCTGTATTTAAATACACATCCGCTTAGCAACCAGTTACGTACGAGATCACCATTCACAATCTTAAATCGTAATGAATGAAGAAACATAACTTCTTCATCTTTAAGTGCAGTTTCTGTTTGAGTCTGAAGCTATTCTGGAAATCTACTATCAGTCGTGATTACCAGCAGGAATCTTAGTTAAAAAGATGTAGTCTCCCCTGTTTATGTCTGTATAAAGACTTTACTTCTACTTCAGCCTACTGTAAACAGCTGTGGTCGCTGATGCTGAAAGTACCAACGCCTTTGAGAAGACTAATCAATGCTGCTCGTCAAACGTTTAATTCTTTTATCTTAATATTTATTTTAATGTAGAACCTCTTTATCAAACTCGTAATATGTTTACAATATAAGAGAAAAGACGTTGGACATTTGTCTTTTATCTTAACTAATACACCGTAAACTTCAGACAAAAAAAAGAATAGTTGGTGGAAATCCACTCTTTAGTTGACAGAGTGTTATACAGTATTATAAGACAAACAATGAAATAATAACTGTAAGCCCAAAAAAAATTTGCTTCCTATAAGCTGCCAAAGGTCATGTCTCATAACGTATTAAATGCGAAGCAGATAACTGAAATAGCAGAATAAAGTTGTTTTGAATCGACAAGACTCAGTCTATCCTTAAAAAAAAAATAATTAAATTTAACCTCTCGCCTTCATTATTTATAGCCAGGCAGGTGTCGATAACCAATCGTCTACCCTCCAAAAGCGTCCGCTTAGGAGCGAATCGTTGGCCATGACTATATCGCTTGTGGCCCTTCGCGAGCTTCTTTGAAAGAGAGAGTGTCAAGTACTGATAGCCACTGGTCATGCAGTCGTGTTAGAGTAACAAGTTTGCGCGTCAAAAGTTGAAATAATTTAGAAAGCTGTTGGGAATGAGTATTCTCCTGAGCCTGTGCAGTGGGAGAATCTGCAGCAGATTTGAGAAGCTTAATGGCCTGTTGAAGATAAGAAAGAGTTTGAGGAAGAACAACGTGACATTAAGCAGTGACGGGAGAACCATGAGAATTGTGTACTGGTGACACTGGATCCGACATTAGGTCGACGCACCATGTAGACAAAAAATATTATTTTTTGAGAGTAGAACTGGTGAAGAATATTCTCCAATTGAAGCTTACAAACAGCGGGCAGTAGTTAACAATTTATTGCACTGAATAGGAAAAAGCAGAACGAAGGAAAGCTACAACAGCAATCGGCGTCATAATGGCGATTCACAAAGTCCGGTGTCGATCGATTCAAAACAAAGATTTTACATTTTAAGAATGCATGCTACTTTAACATTAGCAAAGAAGATTAAGTACAAGCGTTGTTTATAAACAATTCTTCAACATAGAGCTAAAAAGATTAGACAGTCTTGGATCGACTTCTATCTCGCTGCCGCGATAGCCTGTAGTTAGGTTACATTCGTATATCTGATTAGTTATCTTTTGCAATAGTTTAGCCGTCTGAATGCCACCCTTCCTTAAATTTCTTTAATTTTTTATCTTTTAACTACAGAAACCGAGGCATGTCGCGATCTGGCTTGTGAAGTTTGATTTGAAGAAACGCCTTTTTGATGTCTGCTATAACAGTGTAAGTAGAGATATAAAATTTTAATCATATAACGTATAACTCGGGTAGCACCACTAGTCCTCTGTAGAGGTTGTCATTCAGAGTCACTGTTTTCTCTTTTGATTTAGGTGAGGCATCATATGATATTTTTGCCTCAGTTGTTTATTTTCCTGGCGTGATCATTGGGTGCTAAGAAATATATGAGGCTTTGGGTTCTGTCTGATTGTCCTGAACTTCCTCGACGATCCCATCGGCTAATTGGTCCTAAACTTCATCCTACTCATCTAATAAGTGCTCTCAAAGCAGTTGACTGAGTACCCTACATAACCAGAACTAACATAGTTGGTAATTATTTGAAGTTGGTTTATCAAGACCTTTATAGGGCTAAATCACAACGTAACAATTATTCTCAAATTCAAGTGTTTGTTTGGTAAAACTGTTTCAACGCTTGATTACCCTCGTTTGTACCCGGTGAATCTTTTAATCCTAACGTCTCTAGGTTTCAGAACTTGTCTAAACTTGGTGTCATAGAATAACATGATACGACATTAGTTTCAGTAGTATCGTTTTTCTGAGCTAAAATTTGTTTTCCAGTTAACACAAAGAATTCATCTGCGGTTCGCTTCAGACCTAAATCTGTTAGCTCTCAGCAATCATCTGGCCAATTAATATATCTGGTTTTACTGCTTCACCTGCCATCGCCATTCCATAGCTGTCTTTTGAACGCCTACTTAATTTAGTAGTCATATTACCAATGATGTTAAGGCATAACTTTACAGACTTTCTATTACATAGTTGCAAATTTACTTCAGTCTTTAGAAGCACAAATTGAATAGAATTAGTTGCAGCAAACGTATGCAATTTCAATCTTCCATTTTCGTATACTGAAATATTAGGTTTCTTGGCCAGTCTTTCGGTTGCGAACGAGAGTTGACTACCACTATGAAACAATGAATATACTTCTTGAGTCAACTCTTCCCTAGCAGGGCTACAAGCCTTTACCTTTACTAATGGGATTACCACCTAAGCTGCGTTTTTCTTTGCAACATTTTCAACCTCAAGGGTTTTCATTCAAGCACCAACCTCTTTTTTTATCACCAACGACTTCGCTTCAGCCTGACTTGAAGAAATAGTTTGACCTATTAACCGTTCACAAAATGCAGTGTTATGATTCTTCTAACAGTAGTAACGCACCCTAGGTACCATCAAATTGAAGTATTCTCAAAAATTGTTTCATCTTAATAAATTGCCATTAAATTTTGGGGGCTTTACTTTGAGTACTTTTAGTCTTATTGGAAGTACTTCCACCGGATTCTCTTGAGTCCTTCATTCTTTCTTGCTGTTGCCTGCTTCTGCTCCATCCTTCTCTCATTGATGTCTCTTCTACTATCCTGCGCTCTTCTAGCAACACCTGTAAAAAATTGTTCTTCCAACGAACCTTCAATAAAGCTCGCCTTCCTGCGCTAGTCAATTCGCTTTTAAATTTACTAACAGCCCACTCCATTTCTCGTTTTCTTTTTCAACGTTCTCTTTCAACGTTTTCAACGTTCAGCCGTTCTAGGTTGTCTTCTTCGTTTTAGTGTTTCGATAAACACTATTCTTAGCAATCTGCCAATTCATCTTGAACTTCTTTGACGTGGACTTCAATTGCTGCACTGATAAGTTCCAACATCTTTCAGTCTTCCTTCAGTACCTCCTTCCTTGCATTTTCAACGAATAGATTCTTGGGATTGTTTTACTGTTAGCACTTCTGACCTTTGGTATTCTTAGGTTGCTCTAGTTCAATCTACGGTTTGCTGGACCAAGAAATGAAGTTCTTGCAACCACCGACAATTTATTTAGTTAAGAAACTAGTTGCTTCCTTACAGTGTCCCCTTGTGGAAACCTATTCTCCCTTTATTCTACTTTATTTGTTCTCACTGCGGACGATTGTGGTTGTCAACGTTCGGGGTACTCTAAAGGACTGTACTTCTTCTCTAAATAGTGGGGTATTTTTGTAATACTCTGTGAACTGGTACCTCGTGATACGCAACAGTGGTTTAATTGATATGGTTTATCAACACGTAATAATATAACAATGATAAAAAAGGAGTCACTATGCACAAGCCCAACTTCTTTACTGAATCAAACGTTATTAAAATAAACCACTAAAGCAATAATAGGTGCCAAGTGGGCACCTGATAAACCTAAAAATCGATAATGATTTACAAGCCAAGTGGTTTATTAGAAATTAAAGAACTGATAAAACCTTGACCGCTTCTAGTGTAACTCGTTTATAAACTAATAAAGGCTGATTCCGGTGGTTGTGGTGACCATTTTAATAGGGTTTGTAGAGCAGGCTGACCAACTACTTACTCTCCAGAAGCATCCCCCCAAGGGTAAGTAGTGGTATCGTCTGTCTACTGTAGTTTAAGATAAAAATCAGATTGAAGTCAAAGAATGACCAGCTGCAAAAGCTGAAGCCAATACCGCTCCTATGAGTCCTATTACTGCCGTATCAACTACCGCTTCTGCCGCTTCCGCCTGAAACATCTAGAACACTATAGCCACTTTGTTATCCTAAGTGCTACAAGATGTGCTCAAAAGCTGACCTGGTCGCTTTCAGCTTTTCCATATCTGCAATATCTCACAAATTGGTCGCAGTTATTGAAAACAAACTGTAATCTCCAGTACCAACCTGTAAATGTCTTTTTAGGACATTTAAAATGCCATCCAACGTTGAGAACCTTTTGATGACAATAACGGCAACACTCAAGAACCTGAAGAAAATTTTTTTCTTACTCTGTTTTGAGCTCTATCAACGATAACGGACTGCGAAAAAAGAGTATATTCACAATCCAAAGAATTGTTTTTTCGACAATAATTTCCTTCTGATACCGCACTTAGTCTATCTATCCTAACCTGAAAAATGAAATTACTGTTCATACAAAAGTATATTAGCTTTGCCTTTAAGTATTAAGCAAAGACTGAATCTCTGCCGATAAAATTAGTTTGTTCCTCACATAAAAAAGTTTGGGATCTCTGTACAAGAACAAGATATGACAGCGGTTAACCTTACAAAAAAAGGTTACCAACCTTTGCCTTGTCTGCATTAGCAATCATCACGCTAGAACCAGAAGAAGACGATGATTCACCTCCGCATTCGTTCTCCCCGGGTGACAATTGGGCAACATAGACTGTTCCATCTTTTCGAGCGACACACAGAGCCTAGTGCTATAAAACCACTATAACGCAGTTGAAAATAACAACGACGTGTTGGTCACCATGTTCGAAAAGTAAAGACTTTTGGGCAATATCGGTAACATTCTGTTTCATTACAAGAACCATGAAAAAATAACGAAACAACGAAGTATACAACCCGACTCACAAAGGGGATTGCTTCTACTTCAACAACCAGAATAGTACGCACGTTGTAGATTCCACGGTGGAACTCGATCAGATCTCCAATTTCCAGACAAGGTTCCAATTCCTGCCACTGTAACCAATCAGTCTCTAATATCTCATCAGACGAGTCAGAATTGCCCATAACCCAACAGTTCTAAAGTGATATACAAAACAAAAAAAACGGTTTAGAAATAGCAACAAAATATTGATAAGGAATAATTATCTAGACAAGCAAAAGAACTGAAAGCTATATTGCTGTCATTTACTGTACCCTCAGTTGTATGTTTAAAAATGCAAATGGACAAAACTAAAATCACAACAAGAGCAGCAATGGAAAAATCTAGAATTCAAGTAAGGAATGGCTCAAGGAGAGAAAGAAAGTGTTATCGCGAAAAGAGGTTTGTTATTCACTTCATCCTGATTAAAAATGCTGTTTAAAGCCTTTATATATACATGAGCCATGCCAAATCGCACACCTTCATACATCACCCCCTCAGATTTTTTTCATTTTTTGCCAATTAGTGGAGTCTGGGCTGGCATAACAAAAGCCGCGAAGAAAATTTGGAAAAGTGAATTCCCCGCCAAGTTACACCCCTTCAAAGTCGCAAAATTTGCCAGGTTGCCGCTTGACATGCCTGCCTTTGGAGGCCTGTAATTTGGTTCATTCTTAACGTAATTAAACGCTTTTTGATGCAGCTTATTTGTCATTTCCTGAACTTTCGAAAGAATGTTAAATAATCTGATTCCGATAAAAATACACAAAGATATAATAAAAACAAAATTTCAATAAAACATGGAAAAAAAACCTGTTTTTAAATTTCTTAAAAAAGATATATTTTGTGTAGAATTTTTTTCTCTACAAGACATCAAAATTTGGTAATGGCGATTTTTTGATATCGGAAACTACGAGTCGGTATAGGATGTAAAACTGAAAAAAATCCACTATTTTTACAGTATCCCCATGTGTTTTTCAATGGCGAAATCATCCGGAGCCGCTTCTGAAGGCCGCATCTGGCAGCTATAAATATCCTGCATGCTTTGAACCCCGAAAACTCGCTATCAAAGTTATACTTTACTTTAATAATACTAACAAATTATTATTCTGCAGAGTTATAATAGGTAGTCTTTACTCCAGCCCTCGCTAGTTCTCGTGTTTTATTTTGTGAAAACTATGTAGTTAGTATACATCATTTTGGCGTCTCAAAGAAGTCTAAGAACTCACTGCTTTGCCTGGGTAAATGTTAGATTTAGGTCTTTCTCAAAACTTTCTGTGTTTTTGGAGAACTGCAACACATAATTTCAAAGAAGAACAAGCCGACTTAGCGAAAACTTTGACGAGTACAAGGCAGAGACATTTCTTAGCACTGAGAAATCACGACATACAAAAAGTAGAAAGAGTTAGAGTAAAGACTATTTCTTATAACGCTGCAGAATAATAATTTGTTAACATTATCGAAGTAAAGCACAACTTTGATAGCGAGTTTTCGGGGTTTAAAGCATACGGGATATTTGTAACTGCCAGCTGCAATCTTCAAAAGCGGCTTCGGATAATCTCGCCAATGTCAAATGCATAAAGTTGCTGTAAAAATAGTGGTTTTTTTTTCAGTTTTACATCCTATTCTTGCTCGTAGCTCCCGATATCAAAAAATTGCCATCTCCGAATTTTGATATGTTGTAGAGAAAAAAATTATACACAAAATATATCTTTTTTAAAAAATTTAAAGACAAGTTTTTTTAATGTTTTTTTGAAATATTGTTTTTATTGTATATTTGTGCGTTTTTATCGGAATTAAATTGTATAACATTCTTTCAAAAGTGAAAAATAAGCTGCATCAAAAAAAGTTTAATTACGTTGAAAACGAACCAAATTACAGGCCTCCAAAGGCAGGAATGTCAAGCGGCAACCTGGCAAATTTTGCGACTTTGAAGGGGAGTGACCTGGCGGGGAATTCACTTTTCTAGGTTTTCTTTGCGGCTTTCTTTATGCTGGCCTAGACTCTACTATTGAGCAGAAAATGAAAAAAATCTGAGAGGGTGATGTTCAAACGTCTGCGATTCGGCGTGGAATGGCCCATATGGTTTTAGTTTTTTGCAGTTGTATTTTTTGAACGTACAACTGAGGGTTCAGTGGAATGGCAGCAGAGTAGCTTTCAGTTCTTTTCCTGATCAAGATAATCACGCCCTATCAGTATTTTGCTGCTGTTTCTAAACTATTTGTTTAGTTTTGCGTGCCACTTTGGAACTGTCAGGTATACTGTTAGATATATCTATATAAAACACAAAAAAAATAATTCTGAAAAAAAATTTCTGAAAAAAATTAAGAGAGTCAACTACAGATTATGAGAGATGTAACAAAGTTGGAATGGGGTGACAGGAAACGCAAAATAGTTAGAAGAAGAACACGGATCAAAATGAGGCTGTTCAACATTCTGTTTTACGTTTTCCACACTGAGAAGCGGGGAAAAGTGTTTATGAAATGGTAAAAATAGAATTTTTAGAGCATGAACTTGTTCAATACTGTTCGATAAGTTTTACTTGCGCAAGTGGGAGATTGCGATTAAATAAGGAAATTTAACGAGACCAGAAAACGACAGAGGTACGTGTGCTGTGAGTTGAGGAAAAGCATGGCAATAGATTTTGAACGTTTTTTATTTCCTCAAACTGCGGTTGCAAAGTACACGCACTGATGCTTTCAGGTGCAGAAAATTTTACAAAGTGCAAAAAAATTGCAGTAACATTTTGGCATAAGACACTTATAAAATTACCAAGAAGTGAATAGGCAGATTTGAAGCTTTCAGAGGTGAATTGGGCTTTGTCGAAAACTCTGTATAGAAAAATCTCGAGTTAGGTTGACGACCGAAAAAAATTTTTCGGAAGTCGATACACTTAGCTGCCATACCACCGTAAACGATGTGAGTTTTGCGCCACAAAAAAGCACAAGGAGTTTAGCGGAATATTAAACTGTGAACGTCTGGCTTTTGAAAAACACAAAATTTATCTGACACAAGAGGGTCCACTGAATTTAAACAGACCACAAACACGATTAATTATTTTGCAAGGCAGTGAAGCAAATGTTAAGAAGTCAATCTGCAATTTCTGCTTTTTATTCAGGAGTAGCTAACCTCTTTATTAAAACTTCTTTAAAAAAGATGATAACTGAAACGCATTCATAACTATGGGGAGGAAGGGGGAGGGACCTCATGTCTATCATAAATTGAGCAATAATGGGACCGCAACTAACGCGGGAGTTTTAATCAAAAAAAAAA